ACAATAGCCAAACTGTGGAAAGAGCTGAGATGTCCATGGACAGATGAATGGATAAAGAAGATGTGATAGATGATAGATAGATAGATAGATAGATAGATAGATAGATAGATAGATAGATAGATAGATACTGGAATATGACTCAGCCATCAAAAAAAAAATGAAATCTTGCCATTTGCAATGATGTGGATGGAACTAGAAGGTATTATGCTAAGGAGAGATAAGTTAATCAGAGAAAGACAATTCTCATATGATCTCACTCGTGGAATTTTTGAAACAAAACAGTATCATAGGGGAATAGAGGGAAAATAAGATGAAATCAGGGAGGGAGAAAAGCCATGAGAGACTTTTTTAAGATTTTATTTATTTATTCATGAGAGACACACAGAGAGAGGCAGAGACACAGGCAGAGGGAGAAACAGGCTCTTCGCAGGAGCCCGATGCGGGACTTGATCCCGGGACCCCAGGGCCATGCCCTGGGCTGAAGGCAGGCACCAAACCGCTGAGCCATCCAGGGATCCCCCATGAGAGACTTTTAATCATAGGAAACAAACTGAGGGTTGCTGGTGGCGGAATGGGGTAATTGGGTGATGGACATTAAATAGGGCACATGGTATAATGAGCAGTTCCTCTTCAATAATTTTATATTCTTATGAGGGAAAAAGTAAAACCTGTTTAATCTTAAGAAAAAAAAAAGAAGTCAGCTGAATAAATATAAATAAACAAATGAGACCAAGGAGAAATGATTAGTGAAGGAGAAAGAAATTAGCAAACTAATGCCAGAAAGCCAAGTAAAGAACTTGTTTCAAGAGGGAATGAACCAGTTGTGTGAAATTATGTTGAGACATAACACATGGATTGAAACCTGAAGGTGTGATTAGGCAATGTGGAGAACACTGCTCACCTCAACAAATGTTTCAGTGAGGTCGCAGAATGGAAAACTTTAATGGAATAGGTTTAATTTTTTAAAATATTTTATTTATTATTTTAAAGAGGGAGAAAGCAGGGGAAGGAACAAAGGAAGAGAGACCAGCAAACTGTGCTGAGCACAGAGCCTGACACAGGGCTCCATCCCGCGTTCCTGAGATACTGATCTGAGCTGAAACCAAGAGTCAGATGCAGACTGAACCACTGAGGGATAGGTTTAAGAAAGGATGGAAGTAGCACTTTTTAGTAGTTTTGCTGTATACTGAGCAGAGAAACGGAGTGAAAGCTAGAAGTAGACATACGGGGCCAAAGGTTATTTTTTTAAAGATAGGATAATATAGCCTATTTGTATTCTGATGGCATCGCATTTTGACTACTAAACCTATACTAATCAGTTCTAAAGATAAATGTAGCTGAAGACAACTACAGAGTAATATTTCTTAAATATGAACTAAAAAAAAAATAATGAAGGATAGAAGAAAGGCAGGCAGGGATAAGCCCCACCTCTTACCCCATCTTAAGAGGAAAATGACCAGTAAAAGGAAAAAGACCCCATCCTGTTATTCTAGGCTTTACTTAGTGCCCCAACTTTAAGTCTTCCTACTGGGAGGACTTATAACTTGTTTGTGACAGAAAGGAAGGGAATGGCCTTTGGGTGTCCTAACTCACGCCTGGGTGGGCTGCCAGGGGATATTTAAACAAAGGGCTTGATCTGGTGGCCATGCAACTGGCCGGCATGCCTAAGGCAGTGGCAACGACAGCCCTCTGGATCCAAAACATCACCCTGGAAGGAACCCTACCCCCTTCCCACATGAACAACTACCTGATAGGTAGATGGGCTTGTGGACACAAACCTTATTAGGGGCAGGGGCATGGAGGATTAATCAGATTAAAGCAACCCACAGCAAACAGTCCATAAAACCCTCTGAATTTAACCACCAAATCAACAACACTCTTGGGTCCTACATCTTCCGGAGCTTTGTACTATTGCTCAATAAACTTTGCTTTGATGCCCACCATTCTTTGGTCTATTTCTTCATTCTTCAAAGCACCATGACCAAACTGCTAAAGCTTTGGAATATGCTAAAATACACAAATAAATGAGTTTGTAATTTTTCTAAAACACACAAATAAATGAATTTGTAATTGTTCTAAAAATTATTCCAGATAAAGTTTGAAAATCAATTCTTATAGAAAATATTTAAAGCACATTAGGAAATAAATAAATAAATAAATACACACACATACACACACACACTTTTGGCAAACTTTCCTACCTTTACACAATTATCAGCATATTTGACACTTCAGTTCCATTTTTTGACTCATCATTACTAGAAATACAGCATGAACTCTCAGCTTCAAATAAAATGAAGTTTATCTTCTGAAAGGAATATTTTACCAGTTTGTTTTAGGTCTTTTTCCTTTCTTTAACTGTAAACTAAAAAGACTACTAGAAATATAGTTCACCTTGTGAAAAATAACATTAATATATTTGACCAAATAAGTTGATTGCTTTTTACTATCATTGTTCATAATTGTGAGTTTACTATTTCTATTACTATACTGTTTAGTTTGTTTACTAAATTAAAACATGTTTATTTAGCTCATAAAATGGATAAAATGAAGTGTAAATACAACCAAAAGTAGTTCCTTGCAGACTATCTTGAGATGGTCCTAGGGTCACATGCCTTTAAACATTTTAGAAAGGGAAATTACATTTTAAAAACTGTGGACATTGGAAAAGAGAAGATCCTGGTAATCTTGTCATGATCTGAAGAATAAACCTGGTTTTAGTGATGGTACACAAGAGTTAGCTCCAGGGAGGTATGTCTTAAAGGTTTATAAACAAAGGTAATTAGCCTAAACTTTATAGGAAATAGGAAGCCTCCTGTGTATAACTGGATACATGATGCCATGAAACATTCCATTCAAACTAACTCTCCTTGTTCCGATTCTATGTGTTAAAAACAAAAACAAAAACAAACAAAAAAAAACAAAAAAACAGACTTCAACTGAGTAAATTTAAAAGCTTTAATTGGCTTTATTCAACAATTCATAAATCAGGCAGCATCCCACCTAGCACGTAGAAAAGCTCTGAAAAGCTATACAAAATGGAAGACTTTTATAGATAGAGACAGGGCAAGACAAACAAGGTAATAATAAAAAAAAGGACCTTTTTCTGGCAAGGTCACCTTCCTTTGGGGAAAGGGTAGGTCACATCAAGCAATTTACCTCACTAGTGCTGATCAGGAAATTCCAGATTATTGGTTAAAGGTCAAATACCTGCAATTATATCTTGGTTTGCTGTCAGTGGGGGCAAGTGACTCCATTTTTTTAAACTTTTTAAATTATTTTTAATTTTTAATTTTTATTACTTTTTAAAATTCCAGTATAATTAACAGAGTTATTAGTTTCAGGTGTACAATATAGCGATTCAATAATTTCACACATTACTCAGTACTCATCACAATAAGACACTCTTAGTCCATTTCACCTATTTCAGCCATCACCTCCACCCACCTCCCCTCTGGCAACCACCAGTTTGTTCTCTATATTTAAAGAGTCTTTTTTTTTTTTGTCTCTTTTTTATTTGTTCATTTGTTTTGTTTCTTAAATTCTACATATGAGTGAAATCATATGGTATTTGACATTCTGTGACTGACTTACTTCACTTAGCATTATACCCTCTAGATCCATCCATGTTGCAAATGGCAAAAATCTCATTCTCTTTATGGTTGAATAATACTCCATTGTATACCATATCTTTTTAATCCATTCATCTATCAATGGATACTTGTGTTGCTTCCACATTCTAATGTAAATAATGCTGCAGTAAACATAGGGGTGCATATAATCTTTCAAATTAGTGTTTTCATTTCTTTGCATAAATACTCAATAGTGGAATTACTGGGTCATATGGTAATTCTATTTTTAATTTTTTGAGTAAACTCCACACTTTTCAACAGTGGCTACAAGAGTTTGAATTCCACCAACAGTATCTGAGGGGTCCTATTTATTCATATCCTTGCCAACACTTATTATTTCTTCTCTCTTTGATACTAACCATTCTGACAGGTATAAGGTGATATCTCATTATGGTTTTGATTTGCATTCCCCTGATGATAAATGATATGGAGCATCTTTTCCTGCTCTGTTGGCCATTTGTATGTTTTCTTTGGAGTACTGTCTGTTCATATCTTCTGCCTATTTTTAATCAGATTATTTGGGGTGTTTTGGCGTTGAGTTGTTAATATATGTTGGACATTATCTCTTATTGGATGTATCATTTGCAATATCTTCTCCCATTCAGTAAGTATCTTTTTGTTTTCTTGTTTCCTTTGCTGTACAAAGGTTTTTGTTTCCATGTAGTCCGATAGCTTATTTTTGCTTTTGTTTCCTTTGCTTTAGGAAATGTATCTAGAAAAATGTTGCTATGACTAATGTCAGAGAAATTACTGCCTATGTTCTTCTAGGATTTTTATGGTTTCAGGTCTCATGTTAAGATTATTAATCCATTTTGAGTATATTTTTGTTTATGATATAAGAAAGTAGTCCAGTTTTCCCTATACCATTTGTTAAACACACTTTTTTTTTTGTTCAAGTGAATGGTGTTCTTTTCAATTAGCCAACATATAGTACATTAATTCAGTTAGCCAACAGATAGCACATGAATTCAATTAGCCAACAGTACAACATTAGTTTCAGATATAGTGTTCAGTATTTTTTCAGTTGTGTATAACACTCAGTGCTCATCACAACAGGTGCCCTATATAATGCTCATACCCAATTACCCCATCCATCCATCCACACCCCTCCAAAAACCCTTAGTTTATTTCCTATGATTAAGAGTCTCTCATGGCTTTTCTCTCTCTCTGATTTCATCTTTTTTTCCCCTCTATTCCCGTATGATACCGTTTTGTTTCATAAATTCCACATGAGTGAGATCATATGATAATTGTCTTTCTCTGATTAACTTATTTCTCCTTAGCATAATACCCTCTAGTTCCATCCACATCATTGTAAATGGCAAGATTTCATTTTTTTAAAGATTTATTTTTATTTATTTATGATAGAGAGAGAGGCAGAGACACAGGCAGAGGGAGAAGCAGGCTCCATGCCGGGAGCCCGACGCTGGACTCGATCCCGGACTCCAGGATTGCGCCCTGGGCCAAAGGCAGGCGCGAAACCGCTGAGCCACCCAGGGATCCCCAAGATTTCATTTTTTTTGATGGCTGAGTCATATTCCAGTATCTATCTATCACATCTTTATCCATTCATCTGTCCATGGACATATCAGCTCTTTCCACAGTTTGGCTATTGTGGACATTCTGCTATAAACACTGGGGTGCAAGTGCCCCTTCAGATCATCACATTTGTATCTTTGGGGTAAATACCTAGTATTTACCTGGGTCAATCATAGGGTAGCTCTATTTTCAACTTCTTGAGGAGCCTCCATACTGTTATGTTGAGCATTTTTTCATGTGTTGGCCATTTGTATGTCTTCTTGGGAGAAATGTCTGTTCATGTCTTCTGCCCATTTCTTTCTTTTTAAAAAAGCTTTTATTTATTTATTCATGAGAGACACAGAGAGAGGCAGACACAGGCAGAGAGAGAAGCAGGCTCCATGCAGGGAGCCCGATGTGGGACTTGATCCCGGGAATCCAGGATCACGCCCTGGGTTGAAGGCGAACATTCAGCCCGTGAGCCAGCTAAGTGTCCCCTTCTGCCCATTTATTGACGGGATTATTTGTTCTTTGGGTGTAGAGTTTGATAGATTCTTTCTGGATTTTGGATATTTGCCCTTTACCTGATAAGACATTTGCAAATATCTTCTCTCATTCTGTCTGTTGTGTTTTGATTCTATTGACTGTTTCCTGTGCTGTGCAAACCCTTTTTGTCTTGATAAAGTTCCACTGGTTCATTTTTGCTTTTGTTTCCCTTGCCTTTGGAGATGTGTCTAGCAAGATTGCTGTGGCCGAGGTGACAGGTGGCTGCCTGTGTTCTCCAAGATTTTGATGGATTCCTGTCTCAGAGTTAGGTCTTTCATCTATATTGAGTCTATTTTTGTGTATGGTATAAGAAAATGGTCCCGTTTTATTCTTCTGCATGTGGTTGTCCAATTTTCCCAACACCATTTGTTGAAGAGACTTTTTTCCATTGGAAATTCTCTACTGCTTTCTTGAACATTAACTGACCATAGAGTTGAGGGTCCATTTCTGGGTTCTCTATTGTGTTCCGTTGATCTATGTATCTGTTTTTGTGCCAGTATCATGCTTACGATGACAGCTTTGTATTAGAGCTTGAAGTCCAGAATTGTGATGCCACCAGCTTTGGTTTTCTTTTTCAATATTCCTTTGGCTATTTGGAGTCTTTCCTGGTTCTGTACAAATTTTAGGAATATTTGTTCTAGCTCCATGAAAAACGTTGATGGCACTTTGGTAGGGATTGCACTGAATATGTAGATTGCTCTAGGTAGCATATTTTGATAATATTCATTCTTCCAATCCATGAGCATGGAATGTTTTTCCATTTCTTTGTGTCTTCCTCAATTTCTCTCATGAGCATTCTATAGTTTTCTGAGCACAGGATCCTTTGCCTCTTTGGTTAGGTTTATTCCTAGGTGTCTTACAGGTTTTGGTGCAGATGTAAATGGGATAGACTCCTTAATTTCTCTTTCTTCTGTCTCATTGTTAGTGTATAAGAATGCGACTGATTTCTGTGCATGATTTTATATCCTGCCACTTTGCTGAATTCCTGTATGAGTTCTAGCAATTTGGGGGTGGAATCTTTTGAGTTTTCCACATAGAGTATCATGTCATCTGTGAAGAGTGAGAGTTTGACTTCTTTGCCAATTCCATTGCATTCCCATGACTTCTAAATGGTGGAGTTCCCTAGAGTTTAGTCCTTAGGTCTCTTTTCCATGAATATTTTATAGTCCTATTGGGTCTCATCATTTCAGATAATTTCATTGTGTGGTTGTTGTTCAAATTGACCGTATTCAACTTGGGCTTCTGCCTTGAACACCAGACCACAAATTCAATTGTTTCACAACAGCTCTACATTCCCCAGATACTCCCTTCACTTCCTTCATGGGTGTGGTCAAGCATCAATTTATCAGAGACCTTCCCTGACCAATCTACCAAAAATAATGCTTTGCCCAAGCACTCCCTTTCCCCCAACCCTATTATATTTTTCTACATATTTATCACTTGGCATGTTTTATATGTATATGCAGGCATATATATTCATATGCAATTATGTATACATAATTTACATATGCATACTTATACATATGTATAAATGTAAATATATGCCTATATGTATATAAAACATGTATAACATGTGTAAACATATTTACAGTATGTAAAGATGTATATATACTTAAACACATATATATCTATACATATGGTTTTGTGTCTTTTATTTTCCCGCTAGAGTATACTAGAATCTAAGTTCCATCGGGGTAGGCCCTTAGTGCCTAGAATATCCCTGGACTTAAAACAGGCCCTGAATGATTACATAATGGCCCAGATAATGAGCTTAATTCTGAGACATAGCCTATCTGAGAATTTTTGCAACAACAAAACAAAGGCCTCACCACCTGGCATAATAGGAAACTTTAGGTTATTATCTGGATTCTAAATATTGAAAAGTTGACCTCCCTTGCCACAAATTGAGAACCTTCAACAAAGGGGAAAAACAGGTTATATAACAGATTTTGTGGAGAAAAAGGTACTAAACTCAAATTTTTAAATTTGCATTATTCATCTGGATATCTTGTACAGTTCCAGGATTTTTGATGTTTTAGAGGAAGTGAACAAAACTAATTTTTTGTTTTTGCTTGTGTTATCAAATAGAAAATTTTGAGGTATTTGGAAAAATTTAATGAGGCAGAGTTTGAGCTATTTCCTCACATCAAACCATTTTTTTGTGAACAGAAGATCCAACTTTTCTGATGCCCTAGCAACTCACGAGATTATTTTTCTAATTCGATATTAGTATCTGGAACCTGAAACCAACAGTGATTTTTTTCAAGTAAAGATACTCAAACTAAAGTGTGGTTTCAACAGATGGCAGTTGAAATAAATAAATCTCTGTATACAGAGGAATTACAGAATTTGAAGAATAGTTTAGTTCATATCCACCACTGCTCACACTGTGTTAATGATATATCAAATTATTTGCATTTATAAGAAATGTACCACATCTCTTGCATCTTTGTACTCTTTTATGTATTGCTTCTTCTTACTGAACTGAACTTTCCTTTGGTTTTACCTTCTCCAAGATGCTTCTCCTGATGTCCTTTGTTTCAGTTTGAGTAATCTGTCTTTGTGTCTGAAAGACCTCTTGCATATTTTACATAAATTATCACATTTACTAATTTTTTAATCTCAGTCCCCTAAAATACAGTTCATTGAAACTAATAAAAGATACTGTCTTTTATTTCTGTGTTCTATTTGTATTGTATGATGCCTCTCATAAACAGGCATTCTATAAATATTTGCCAAAATGAATGAATGAATAACAAGACTTCTCTTCTACTAGCCTAGCAGTGGAAACTAACATTTCCCCCAGGTTCTAAGCCTTTAGCTGAAATAATAGAAAAGTGGGAAATTACTAGATGGTCTTGCTTAATTCAATTTTTTTCTTAGTGCTCCTATATTCCTTTGTCTTAATGAATATACTCAGTGGACAATTGAGATCCTGAAAGCCTTTTGAAACTTTTGGAGAACATGTACTAAATAAAACCAAAATGCACTAAAATGTGTCTACTTTTTTCTATTTTGAACACATTTTTATTTAAGAAGTCACTATCATTCATTTACCAGTTCAAATGCTTTATTTCTTAAAGGTATTCTTTTAACAAATTAAAATACTTTTAAATTCCAAGTTAGGTATTCTAGCCTTGGATATAAAGCTCATCTTTCCTGAATATATTTTCTCTTAAATATGCAAAGGAATATATATTCATAGAGTGTGTTGAAGATTAGGAAAATCAAGGGTTCTTGTTCTGTCAGGTGCAGCATTTAGAGAGTTATTTTGATAAAATCCGGTAGCTCTGATACGGCTTGAAAATACTTGCTCCCTTGGAGTATAATTGCAAGGAAAAAATTGTGGCATAGGTAAAAATTCACCATAATTACTTGAATTGGTTTTATACATAATCATCTTAGGTTTTGATAGTGAGGTGGCTGTCTGGAGTGTCTTTGGGTCCAACATACATGAAAACACAGGATTGCCAGGGTTCACACAAGGAGGAAGTTGTTCAGGTTTCATTTCTGTGCCTGAAGCTGAAGCTGAAGCACATTTCTTGTCCTGAAATATAAACACATCAAATCATTCTCCATTACAAAATTTTGGGGAAAAAAACAAAGTTAGCACCAACCCTGTCTTATACCACTCACAAACATTAGCTCAAAATTAGTTACTTAAATATAAAACCTGAAAGCACAAAGCTCCTAGAAAAGAACACAGGGGAGATCTCTGTGATGTTGTTCTTGGCATTGATTTTTTGGATATGACACCAAGAGCATAAGCAACAAAAGCAAAAATAAGTGAGACTGCATCAAACTGAAATGCTTCTGCACAGCAGAAGAAATAATCAACACAATGAAGAGACAACCTATGGAATGAGAGAGAATATTTGCAAAACATATTGATCAGGGGCTAATATCTAAAATATTCAAGGAATTCATACAATGTGCTAACAAAACAATCTGATTTAAAATGAGCAGAGAACCTGAATAGACATTTTTCCAAATAAGATATACAGATGGTCACCAGATTCATGAAAAGGTGTTCAACATCATTAATCATCAGAGAAATGCAAATTAAAAACCCAATGAGATATCACCTCACACCTGTGAGCATGGCTAGTGTCCAATAACAAGGGTTGGTGAGGATGTGAAGAAAAGGGAACCCAAAGAACGGTGATTGCCAGGGTATGGGGGTTGGTCAAAGAGTACAAGCTTCCAGTTATAAGAAGAATAAGTTCAGGGGATCTAATGTACAACATGATGAGCAGAGTTACCAATACTGTATTATATACTTGAAAGTTGCTGAGACAGTAGATTTTAAATGTTTTCACCACAAAAATAACTTTAATTATGTGAGGTGATGGATGTATTCTTATTGTGGTAATCATTTTACAATACATACCTACAAGAAATCAAGTAATACTCCTTAAACTTATACACTGTTATATGTCAAGTATATCTCAGTAAAGCTAGAAGAAAACAAAACAAAAAAGCACGTCCACTTCACTTTTTTGGAAATTCTGTTCTCTTGAGGGCAGTGGCTAGTTGTCATTAAGTGACATAATCTCTGTACAAAGCAAACTTATCAAAAGTATGTATAAGATAGCTTTTAAAAATCCTGTATTAGAATCATGAGAATTTATCAAAACATCTGGAAATCTTGGAGAAAATCTGTAATAAGGCATAGTTAGAAGAGGACATACTGCTGAATTCTAGAATGAGAGGAGAACAAAATAAACATTTAGGGATTTTAGCCTTGTGGTCATACCATTAAGCAAATAATTACACAACTAATAATTATAATTGTGATAAGTGCTATGGAGGAAAAAATACAAGATATTTATGAAAACTTCTAGGGGGTACTAACCTAGTATGGGGGCTAAGAAGGGCCATTCTAGTGAGTGTCACTGAATCTAAGACAGAAAAGACAGAAGTGGGAATAAAGAAAAACTCAGCGAGGCCAAAGTCAAATAAGTTAGAGTGAAAATGGCTTGAGATGAGAATACAGGGCAGGGGCCAGATCTTAAGGGTCTTGTTGACTCTGTTAAAAATCTGGATTTTCATGTTAAAAGCAATAGAAGGCTATTGAAGGATTTTAAGGAGATGCATGTCATTAAGGAACAAGTTTAGTATGATTACTTTGGCTGCTGTTAGGGCTTTGAATGGATATAGAAAGGAGCTACAGAAGGACAAGTGATGATGACAATGATCTATAGTAGGGAGGTGGTATAGAGAGGGAGAAAAGTAAATAAATCTGAAATATATTTTGGAAGTAGAATTCACAGGACCTGGTGATTGATTGTGGGTCGTGGTGAAGAGGGACAGATCAAGGATGACTACTAGGTTTCTGGACAAACACTTGGGTGGTGTTTACTACAATTTACTACAATTTTTAATATATAAATATTTAAAATACAAATAATTTACCTATTCGGGGATGTGAAGGAGCGAGATATTAAAAAGAATGTATGCAAAAGTGCCTATAGCTTCCTAACGTGCACATAATATGCCTTATCCTTCATAAAGTCAAGTCTATTAAAAACATCAAGCTTTGTTAATGAAGATAAAAGAATTCAAATGGAACAGACTATATAAACTTTATCATTCATTCATTAATTCAGCAAATACTTATTGAGTACTTACTGTGTGCTACACATTGTTAGATGTTGGAAATGTAATGATGAAT